GCTAATGATTTCTTGGAACTCCATTCGCCGCAGGTAGGCCTACAATTTCACAGAAGTAGCAATACTCTCGATTTGTTTTTTTTTTTTTTGTTTGCGAGCTATTCGTCTGCATTTCCGTTTGTGTGCATTGCATTTGCGTGCAACTTTGTATCGCATGCGAGCGCAATTACACAAAAATTACAAAAATGCAATGGCAAACAACTGAACTCAACACAGCACAGCACAAATCGTGGCGAATTTCACTGGTAGCTACTCTCTTCAATTTTTATTTTTGTTTTTTTTTTTTTTAAGCTAGCCCCAACACGGCCGCGTGTTTAACGGCAAATAAAGAATAATTGAGCCGCGTGGCGGCGTCAATGAAGCCTTCAATTACCGACATGAATTTGTCAGCCGGCCAGGAGTGTCTTGCACTTTTCGCTGGCTGTTCGCTATCCACCGCTTGCTGACCAACAACTGTGCCGCAACTATGTTCTGCGATAGCCATTCCCAACACCCCTTTATAGACACCATTAACGCAAATAACAGTTTTATTAACCCACGCCGATTGCACAAACAAAATCTCACTTCCCTCCTTACTACTACTCGTTCTCACATAACCATCGCCATTAAGCATTCACCGACACCGACATTTACCATTTCCATGGCTCATTTTTATTTCCGACTAGCAGTTAGCTTTTGTATTTGGTTGTTTCACCTTTGAACTCGCGTCGCTTCTTATGTATAACAACCGCTGTTGTTATTATTTTGCATTCATTTAACTACTAGCATTTTATTTTGTTCACTTTTTTGCTGCACATTCGTAAAAGTTATTAGTTGTAATCATTTCGCCAGCACTTCCCCCGCCCCCAAAACTGCTGCTTGTACTATGTATTTGGGTGCACCCTGCGGCAATGAATGTCCTTTGTGCGAAGCGTTAAATTGGCACTTGTTTAGTTTCGATTAGCTGGTAAATAAAGCGTAAATGACGAGTTTATTTTCACTCTAAAAATACTAGCGATAAGTTAAATGAATATCTATAAAATAAATGGCATTATTACTTACTACGCCACTTGCATGTCTGGAAACGAAACGATATGGGTAATTTGGAAAGTTTTTGTTTTGTGAATAGCGTGGCGTATGTATGTACATGCATATGTATATAAAAATGTATGTGCATATAGAGCTACACATATAGCCATACATATAAATTACTTCTAAATGTTTCTTACAATACTTGCAATGTGTGTGGATTGTCTGTCCTCCATGTCGTATGAGTAACAATTTTCTTGAGATGCGACAGTATTTTAGAAAAGCACGGTAAACATGAGTATTTAGTCCCTAAGAGTTCTTAAAT